CAACCTGCCTCCAGAAGCAGTGAGTGTTCCAACACTGGAAGTTTTTAAGAAGAGACTGGACAGCCATTTGTCTGAAATGGTATAGGGTTTCCTGCCTGAGCAGGGGGTGGACTAGATGACCACCAAGATCCCTTCCAACTTTTTATTATTATTATTATTACTATTACTATTATTATTATTATTATATGTATGGGAGGGGCCAGGTGTTGAACACCTATCGAAAGAATGCTAAGCCTTCCTCAAACCTTAGCTTTTGCTTTCTTGCAGAAAAAAGAGAGAAATTGGGCTCCTGATATCTGCACTCATCACCACTGCTCCACCTAGCAGCAAATCTTAACCGTCTTGTATGGAAACTGGAAGGTTGTCTCCATACTTTAGGATTATCCTTCAGTGTTAGGATTATTCTTCTCCTCCTTTTCCATCTTAAATCCCTCTGTTCACCCTATCAAAGTATTTTTCATTAAATAAAGTACAATACCTCTGTTCCCCATTATTTGAAGGTACCTGGATCCCACTACAGGAGAGAGAGAAAAATCTCACCTGTTCGAAGCCTGACATTTATATCTTAATTTTTTTCCCCCACTCCCCATGGATGTCTCCATATTTAGACACTCTCCACATTTAGTCTTTCTTCTTCCCAAGTCCCAGGATCAAATTCAGGTGTGAAAGTCACAGTAAGTGACTAAACTAAAACAAACCTCCCTATTCTGTGTTTTAACAACTTAAGAGCCAGCAGTCTGCACATAGCTCGCATTTTCACATCAACGCCAATGCGGTGATACTCCAGCGTCTCTTGGGATGAGCAAAACAAGCATAATTGTCCACCTTTCTGCCCAGATATGTTCCACTTCCTTTCTTCTGAATCTCAGAACAGACCAACATGTTTTAAAGCTTTTCAAACTGTTATACTAGCTTTCTTAGAAGACTGACTACTAGAGTTCTCCCTCAACTTAGCAAAAATCTTATTCTGTACCAATTCGCCATTTAGAGAGAGAAAACACAAAAGCCTTGAAGGAACCAACCCTGCTTTCATTTTTCTGTGGCAAATTTCAGCTAGACTTCTTGAGGGGCACCCCAGCATTGAACATATTTTCTACATGATCTCATTTAGCTTTGTGATCATTCTGTTCCCCAACGGCAAAATAGTCTAGTTCAAGCACAACTGTCTAATGCAAGACAAAAACAAATAAAATAGTTAAAAATTGTATGTTAAAGAGGAACATTAAGAGGGAACCTTTGCCCTCCAATGCATTGTCCCTTTCTGCTCATAATGAAAAAGCACTCTAAGAATATTTTGCTAGGTATGATTGGAAGAAGGAAAAGGCACATCCAGAGCTATAGAAACGTGGATTTTTGCTTCTTAACTAGCTACAACATGGCACTAAGATACATTCTTGGTTTCTACTGATTATAACATTACCATCTGCAATTATTACACTGAAACAAGAGATTTACATAGAGACAAATGTTTGTTTTCTTTCCAAACTCACTCCCAAACATTGGATAGGCAATGTTTTCTTGCATGGTACAAGTTGCTTACATGCTGGTTTGCACCTAATCTAAACTTCTAAACTCAGAAAGAACACATTTTCCCCAGAATTCCATTTTCCACCCCGATCCTTCCACCACTGCAGTGCTCTCACACTGCAATCCTTCCCTACCCAATGCCTTTTCACTTCACTATAGCGATGCTTGAGAGCCGCAAGGCATACCCGGGCTGCAGATTAAAATGGCCGCTGTAGAGGAAAAATGGCGGAACTTGTGGGACTTCAGACAAACATCAACGAAGCACGCACACTAGGAAAGCAGTTCCTCTGCCTCTGCAGTGATGTTCAGGGATCAGCAGAAGAACAATATCCTGAAATGCTAATCTGCTCTCAAATTGGGAATTAGAAATTTGTAAAATTGACCCCATTCTGCATCATCCGCACTGCAAAAGACATGCAAAAGGCTGCAGAAGATACAAGATTTAGATCTGGAAGAAGGATAGGAAAAAGATATAAAAGGAAATTATGTTTGGAGGTGGGGAAAGAATATGACATAATTTATTTTGGCATTTGATGAGGCAAGCCATCGATTTATGTAATTTCCTTCTTCCTAGTCCGTTTTTTATATACAACCAGAAAAGAAAAACTCAGAATAAGGAATAAGTCCAGCAAGCTGCCCAGTTTTGGAGAATCAGGATGCCTACAAATTTAATAAATAAAACTAGTCCCTTTATTTTCTAAGAGCAACACAATAATGTCACTCAACGGTGCTCTAAGCCAAAAGCAAAATTAGAAATGACTTCCCCCATCTTTGATGCTGCAACATGCCAGGTTTGGGATTACAAAGAAATGTTTTTCAAGCATTAATTAAATTATATGTTGGTCCAATTTTGCTCATTCCTTCCTAGGCAGAGAAATGGGTTCAAGGCCTCCTTTGGCCTCAGTCACCCAGTTCGATATTATGCAGTTTTTCTTAGCAAAAATACAGGAGTTCAGCAAGATTTTCTTTTAAGCCAAACCACTCTAACCCTGGATCTCCTTTAGCAGTGTTTCTCAACCTTGGTAAGTTTCAGAAGGGTGGATTAACTCCCAGAATTCCCCAGCCAGCCAGCTGACAGCAGAATTCTGGGAGTTGGAGTCCACCTATCGGAAACCTGCCAAGGTTGAGAAATGTTATACTCAGGTATGTGTTTTCCATCCCATAAGTCATGACTCTGCTCAAAAGTGGGTCAGAAGACGACATGAACTGAAAAGGAGGAAAAAGAATAAAAATGTTGCTGTGTGATGAAAGAAGGGATGATTTGGCTCATGGAATGATTCACCGGCTAAGCAAGGGTGGGACAAGACGGCAGGCCAAAACGGGCTGTGCTTGTCTCAGAGCTGAGGAGGGATGTAGCTTTGTGTCAAAGCACCATTAGCCCAAGGCCAGTTCAAGGTGTTCCTTATTTATTTGTTTATTTATTTTATTAATGATATACCTCTATGCCGCCGTAATCAAAACGATAGCGAGAACAAAGTGGCTGAAGAGTGACAGTTCTAAAAACAGGGTGTCATGGTTTTGCTTACTTTCTTCAGTGTTGTTTATGCAAAACGGTTCCTCCTTCCTGATTCCTTATTCATCCCTAATATTGAACAATCGGCATCGTAAATTTTCAAAAATTCATGCCCTGAGAATGGCCTAGAAGTCTTCTTCCCTTTCCTTCCTTTTTTTTAGTCGGACATATTCAAAGCTCCCCACTGCACTTATTCTAATCAGAGTAAGGAGAACTCAACATATGTACATTGGAAATCAGCATGCACACAAAATTGAACTTTTCACAATATATTGGAGGGGCCTCTGCCAAACTGAATAGGAGATTTATTATTTATTGAAAGATTTTTTTCAAAAAATGTCTTCTGCTATTCTTTTTTTCATCCCATCCTTGCTTTCCGAGGCTTAATTTCAGGCATGCTTTCATTCTGTATCTCCTATATCTCTTCTATAATCTTTGCGTATACAGTACATTAAATTGTAGAAAAAGGTGAAAAAAGATACAAGTGCTAAAATTATATGTGGTTTGCTGTATGTTGTGCATATGCAGACAAAATAAAATACTTCTAGTCCCCAAATTAAAAATTATAAATAATTGAAAAGAAAAAAAAATGATCTCAAGCACCATTTGAAAAATCTATTTGACATTTTCTAGGAGGACCGATTAATAATATAAGATATGATGGGGGGAAAATAAAGTCAAATAAAATTATTCCTTTGACCATGTGAAAATGTTAATCAGAGCTCACAGAATGTAATAACAGTACCTCTGAACAAGTGCAGAGTCTACAACACGGAAGAACCAGAGTTGAAAAAAATACCCCCTTATTGAAATCTATACCTGTTTTACAAATGGATATGTTTGGTCTTTCATGCTTACGCATTCAAATGAAAATAATATGGATCGGATTACATTCTGTTTTTCAGTTTACTCAGGCTGAGGGCTAGCAAAAGTCTTTTATAGAACTCATCAAATTATACCTTAAATGACTTCCCAGGATAGGGATAAACTGGAAAAGACTGCAGAGTAACCCTAACTTTATTCAAAAGTAAATCCAACCGTAATCAAATGGATCTATTTCTTAGCAAAAGGATCTATTCCTTCATTATTTTTAGGGTTTGTCTCAGGATAAAGCCTAAAATACTTCTTCACAGGAAATATCACAAGGTCATTAAAAAAAAAAACTACCAAGTAGTATAATTTTTTTTTAAGGAAAAGAAATCCATAAAATGAAAAGAGATCAGATATGAGGGTGGAGTGATGGATTTACACATACAAACACACGCTGGTTTGCATGTGGAAATAATTGATCTCTTTCTGCAACATAAAAGTGCTAGATGTGTTTCTGCAGATTATGTTATTATATAAAACAAAAAACCTCCATCCTTTAATGAGTTTTGCAGCCTAACACAATTTTTCCTCAGGCCACAACTCATAATAACAATAATAAATAATAATCACAACAAAGATGCAAGTTGCTTAACAAAATGCACATCTGGAAGAGAATATTTTATCCCTTTCTATTCTATATCACAATGTCCTGTTTGCCATTATTCAACCGCCAAAGATGTATTTGTTTTCCTTGTTGCTTGCTAAAACTGTTTATCGGTTGCATTTCTTTCTTTTAAAACCTCGCTTCTAAAGTACGGCAGCTTCATTTGGAAGAGAATACCCACGAGTGAAGTAGCTGGATGTCAGGAGAAAATACGATTATTTATTAATCAAGGAAGGCAGAGCGCGCGCGATCACATTTAAGCTCCTTAAGCACCGAGACCCTCCGCTCCTTTTTTAAGGAAAGCCCCAAAGCAGAATGGGACCTGCTTCCGAAGAAACGCTCCCACTTCGCTTCGATTCTCAGGGAAGACACTTCGGATCTCTCCCCCACCTCCCTCCCTCCCTCTTCGGGGCTGGATCGCGCCTGGCCACGCGATCGATCATCTCCCACCTGGACGCCAAGAGAGGGATCCGTACAGATTCTTACCTCGCATCTTCTACTCTTATCTCTCTTCTGGAAATAGCATGGAAAAAAACACGCCGTCGGAAACAAAACTCCTTGCAGAAGGAGAAGGGGCGAAATAAATAGATACGGCGGGGAGCGGAGGGTATAAAGTTTCCAGCGTGGGATCGGGCGGCTGGTTGGCTTAGCTCGCTCGCTCTGCTGGTTTCCTCTCTTCTGTTTGTGTTTTGCAGCTCGCCCAACGATTAATAAGAAGCGGTTGAAGCGTCTTCCTCCTGACGTCTCCACACCTTCCTTTCCCCTTCCTTCACTCCTTCTTTCCCAGCCAAGCGCACTTGGAGAACTGCTAGCCTACTTTCTTCCAGAGGTTGGTATGTACAAGAAGCATGGGAAACTCACATGACAAATCCCTGGCTCGGGCTCCGCCTACCTCCTGTCAATTTCGGCCCAAGCCCCCCCCCGGGTCCAGAGCCCGCCCCTTGGAGTTGTGTTGTTCCGATCGGTTTTCCTTTGATAAAACACTCTGGACGTCATTTCTTTTCTTTTTTTTTACCCCCGTTTACACTTTTCTCTTGTTTTATTCTCCATAGGTTTTCTTATCCAGCAAAAATGTATCTGTTACATTTATTTATATTCATTTAACAGATTCCTGTACAACATTTATTTATGTTTGTTAAATATTTATTAACTAGATGGCTGTCTGAAGAGTCTCATTTTACAAACAGTCCTTGTTTAGTGACTGCCTCATTTAGTGACTTCACTACTTTGGTGGTGATGGAGTAACTTTTGGACCAATCCTCGCTTTTACAATTTTGGCAGGTCTGTAAAGCCAGAGAAAGCTGAAATATAATCACAGTTCCACTTTACTTAGCGACCGCTCCATTTAATAACCAAGCTGCCAGGCTCCGTTGTGGTCATTAAATGAGGATTATTTGTTTTTGCATACTGTACTTTTTCATTTTTTCGTTTTGTTTAAAATTTATTATCTGCTCTTTTACCAGAAAGATTCTAGGATATTAAAAACAGTGTTAACATACAGCAACTGACTGAATAAAGACTAGAAACCAAACTAAAAAATGAACTGAACTAAGATCGTAGCTACATACAGCTTTTCTTCCAAATGCCTGGAGTAAGGTTGGAATGATTGTAATTGTAGTGCCCATTTATTTAATCTGTCCTGGAATAGCAGTCAGGAGTCAGAAAGGCTAAAGCAGAAAAGGCCATGCTTTATGACGGGCAATTGCATTGCATCAAAATAAGAGTAAACTTGGTAAGCTGCTGATGAAGAAGCATAATTGTATACTGTAACAACAAATCATCATTACTAGAGGAATATTGGGAAAAATATAAGATATCGTTTTAAAACAGACCCATTTGGCTTGCATTCTTGAGTAAATGCAGATAGTTCTCAACTTACAACTGTTTGTTTAGTGACTGTTGGAAGTTTCAATGGCACTGAAAAAAGTGACCCATGACCGTTTCTCACACTTACGACCCTGGCAGCATCCCAATGGTCATGTAATTATAATTCAGATGCTTGGCAACTGGTTCATATTTATGACGGTTGCAGTGTCCTGGGTCATGTGACCATCTTTTGCGACTTTCTGACAAGCAAACTCAATGGGGAAGCCAGATTACTTAATGACCTTGTTACTTACTTAACACCTGCAGTGATTCACTTAACAACTGTGGCAAGAAAGGCCATAAAATGGGGCAAAACTCATTTAAGAAATGTCTCGCTTAACAACAGAAATTTTGGATCTAATTGTGGTTGTAACTTGAGGACTATCTGTATGCACAGATATTCCTTGTGTAAAGCCAAGATCTGTTTCTTGTGGTGATGAATTTCACATACTAATATATCACTCATTTGTTCTGTCCTTAGTATTTAGTGTACCTCTGTAGGATATTGTGTCATTAAGTGTAATCTCTATTGATCAAATGACTCCATTGCTTATTTTAATTCCCTTTAAAATACCTTTGAGGCCAGTGACAGTGCTACACTTTTGCTAATTTTATCATTTGTGGGGAATAGGATTGGACTGCCTTCATCTTAACATAGGGGAGAATTTAATTTCGCTTCACTTTATCACCAGCTATGTGTATTTTTATCATACTCTCATTGTATTCTTGAAAAAGAGAAAGAAATGCTACATTTCAATAATATTGCTTATCCTTCTTGCACCTTTTTAAACTCTCTTTTTTGTTTAGAGGTAGAATGTAGGTTTTCTTTGAAATATTTTCTTCAAGAGGACTAGCACCTTTCAAGCCTCAAAACTAGGACTGTGGGGCCACAGGCAGGCATTTAACAGTAAGTGAGCTAGTTATTTTAAACCTCCATAGTGCCACCTAGTGGGAAAAAATATCCTACAGCCATTTGGAAAGTCATAACATAGCCTTCAAAAGTTCCATGATACACCTGTAGTTGATGACAAGCTTTCAGCTGTTATCCAGGTTAGCTAGAAAGCTTTCAAATGATCATCCAGCATATTCCTATGATCAGCAGAGTCACTAATTTTGGCTAAAGGAAAGATGTGGAAAAAGATCTTCCTTGCCCCAATAGATGATGGCTAGCAATATTTCTTGCTACTCATGTAGAAATGTCTGAATAAAGTGTATTCACTAATTTTTAGAAACTTGAACTGCTTTTCTTGTTGGCTATAAACTAGCTATCATGCAAGTTATACATTTGATATTTCTGCATTCCATTGCTCTCATGCAGAATGTATCTAAGCAGTAGAATCAGTTATTTGTAAATTTTGAATTTTGATTTGACCAGTCAAAATTTGGGTCAGGCCAATAGACTAAGACCACTTCTTTCAGACACTTTATGGACTAGTGGGCAGCTCTAGTGAAATGAAGAAGAAGCTGACTTTAAGTTTGACATGCATTTCCACAAGCTCATAGACATCCAGTACTATACTGAATAACATGGGTCATAGGATGACATGACGAATCAAAGGTAATTAACAAACCAAGGCCTACTTTCAGGAATACTAACACCAAGTCTTTCCAAGCATGGTTTTGAAATTGGAAGTCACTGACAGGAACTGCTGACTGGGAATAAAACAGAGAGTGGCAGGTGAGACCTGCAGTTATCCACAGACTAAATTTAGCAAAAGAAGACAGCACATAAAATGCACTGAAACTGTCCCTATGGGGCAATTTTGCTCCAATATGGAATCTGGCTAGTTGACCCACAATTTTTACTATAGCCAAGCTGTGGAACTCAGAATGACCATTAGTTTGCAGCAGAATGAAAAATAGTTGAATTTTGCTACCCAGATATGGTAGTCTTAGAAACTGAACAATTGCTAGTACAGGTAATCCTTGACTTACGATTTTAAGGGAACCTGCCCATTATGGCTATAAGTCATGACGGTTGTAATGTGAGTCAGCTAAGTGTGATTTACCTAATTTTCCAGTGATTGTTAAGTGAATCACTGTGGTCGTTAAGCAAACCCATTGTTGTCAATTAAATACCAGTTTTCGGCAAAAATGTCATAAATAACAGTTCCCTGACTGCGGGATGCTGCAATTGGCCATAAATGCATACTGGTGGCTGAGGGCCCAAAATGAGGTCATGTGACCCTGGGTAGGGGGACAGCTGGCAAAACTTCGGAACTGAGTTATATGTACCTTTTGGTGGGTCTGTCATAATTTCAAATTTCCACTAAATGACCAGTTATATGTTGAGGATTACCTGTAATAAGCTTTAGTTTCTGCCTCCTCTCCCACAGGGTCTGTGGGAAAGGTTTCCAGCCCAGAATAAAATTGATTCTGGTGCTTCTGCTCCAGATCTCCTTGTAATATATGAAGTCATCAGTGGCCTATCAAAAAAAAAACAAAAACCAGTGAAATCCAATATATGATGCATCAGATGCAGTTTGATCATATACAGAAAGTTATGACTTGATCTTCTGCTTATCAAATTGTCCATTGTGATAATGCACAGAGAGTAGCTAAGGGAGAAGAGAAGCAAAAATGCATGGATACACACATGAACCAGCTGTGTGCAATGTCCCCATCCCCCCATCCCTTATGTGTATGCTCATGCTCAAACACACAAACTGGCGGATTTAAATTCTGCAGTATATAAGCTGGCTTTGTAAGATCAGGAATACTGTACATGTACAGCCATTTTTAATGCAGCTTAAAAGCCAGACAAACTAACAAATGTACAGGAATGATGGATTTATATTATGGTTATAGAGTATACCTTAAATTTAAATGAAGAGGCTACAAACAGCACCCTCAAAGGTATTTTGCTTGGAAAAGCCTTATTATCTATCAAACGGGGAGAAGATAGTTCCTATTTTAGTTTCCACCTTTGCTCAGTTGATGGAGCAATGCAGAAGGACCTCCCCTCCAAAAGTTCTCAAGGGAAGGTCTTCAAAAGAAGGGAAAGCAGAAGAAAAATGATTAGCTTGAAATAGGACCGACTTCTTCAAATCAGTGTCCCTCTCCAGGTCAGTGGGCTATCACTCTCTTCTCTCCTTTGTTAGATTTGACTTCTTTTCTTGATGAGTTTAAATGAGACAACAGGGGAAATATCTCTTCATACAATCCCCAAAACAACAGTCCTGTAAGGTTGGGCTCAGAGTGATCGGTCCCCAAATCGCCCAAGTTGCATGACTGAAGATGGATTTGAACCCAGAACTCCAATCCCTTCCCTGCTATAGCACACAAGCTTTTATTCTGATCATTTGTCAAACCCTTCATGAAATTTCAGATTGTTCAACGACATCCCCCCAACATTTAATATATGAAAATAATTTAATAAATGCTACTTTAAATTACAACAACAACAACAACAACAATAATAAACCAACTGTAGCAGAAAGAAGCAAAAATAGCACCAAGAGGCACCTTGGGTGCAATCCCAAAATAATTGGAACACCACTTGAATACCACCAGCATTGAAAACATCATCATCAGTCAATTGCAAAAGGCAGCTTTACTTGGAAAAGCTTACATTCTGGCACAATACCTTTAACACCATCAAACATCTACCTCTGTCTATCCCTGTTCCTTGGGTAACACTCAATAGGTGGATAAAAATGTCAAATCCAATCTAAATATCTGACTGACTTGACATGAACCATATAATAAAAATAGATAATCCCATCAATGGGAGTCAATATTGACCACCTATTTTTCATGGAATGTATAGCCTATCTCTGGGGGTTCAAGGAAGTATATTTCCTCAAATTCTCTCCACAACAGCGACAATATGAAATAAATGGAGCTGAGGGCTCATAACTGGCCCCAAGTCTATCTTATCAAGACATACTGTACACAGTCATCATTCCTGGTCTGTAAAATTTGCAGATTGCAACTGAATGACAGTGAGAGTTTCTGACAGGAATTTATTTGGAAG